CGTAATTGAATGGGAGAAGTTAAGGTTCCTTTGATAGTGATTAATTGCTTTTCACCGGAGGAAGCAACGGGAACTCCTTGGTTTTTACTTATTAGAATTTCTTTTAGGTTTTCTGTCATATGCTTTTTAATTCATATAGACCAAAAGGAAATTAGGGAATAAAAAAACCTGTTTTTTAACAGAGTAAAAAAGTTCTGATAACTAAAATAATGAATATATTAAAAAAGAAAGAATTATTAGAGAAATATGACAAACAAAAAAAATCACCTAGGAGTCAAAAGTTTTAAGGAATATATTGAAGCTTTGGAGAACCCGAATTATGAGGAGGGGGCTTATGATTGTCCTCCTAATCCTACTTCGTTGGAAAGAATGAAATATGACACTTGTCAAAGTATTTTGGATTATAAGTTGACTAATCGCTTAACTACCCAACAAATCGCCCAACAAATCCAATTAAGCCCAGCCGAAACCGAGGAATTATTATTTTGTCGGATTGAAAAATTTACCTTGGATAGATTAGTTGACTATGCCAGTAAGTTATTTACTCCTTCCCAAATGTGAATAAATATATCAGGAGTGGCAGAGCAAAGAGAAAAGCATGCCAAGACCTTTTAAATTAATTGGCAAGCCCGAGTTTATTAATAATGAATGGCGATGAACCTACGAATTAGAAATTATGTTTAATAATCAGGAAATTAAAAAAATAACTATCACCGACCATTATCAACAGAAAAAAGGTCGCGAAATGATTACTAATGATTTGATTTTGGAAATATTAGAACAAAAACTTCACACCCGAAAAGTTAATCCCATGCCTGACAGTTATTTATTGTGAGACCGAGAGGTTTTTAGATGACACACTAATTATCAAGATGAAAAATATCGGCTGTTTTTCTGATTTAAAGATGACACCACTAACCACCTCTGAATTAGAAATTGCCACCCTTACTAAAGAATTATAAATAGAATAAAAAAAATATGAAATGTAATAAATGTAATAAAGAACTAATAATAAAAGACCAGCAAGGAACCACCTATTTAAAAAAATATCAGTTAAATAGTAAGCAACCTGACAAAGACGAAAAAAATAACCTAGTTTTATGCTCTGATTGTTATCAAGCCAAGGAAACCGAGTATTTAAGAGATTATTTAACGATTACTGAAAATAAAGAACAAAAAGAACAGTTAGGAGAGCCAATAATAATTTTTCAAAGCGAACAAATTAAAGACCCTTATAAAAAGTGCTATGAAAATAAAGTGGATGAAATTGCTAATGAGGTTAAATATCAAATGTCATGTTATCACTGTAATCCTTACAGCAAAGAAATAGAAAAGCAAAATAAGAACATGTTGGAGATTTTAAAGGGAAATTTAGAAGGAGGCGAGCATTATCCAAAAAGAGAGGAGGACAAAAAGAAAATAGCAATATTAGAAAAAAGATTAGGTAAGAGTGATGATGGTAAAAAAGACAAAGGAGATTTAGACGAATTAAAAAGTAAAGACACCTTAACCGCCCAAGAGGAAAAGGAATGAAAGTCATTTATCACCGAGTTTGAAAAAGAATTAGCCAAAGAACCAAATAAAAACAGTCCAGAATATAAAGAAAACGAGCAATTTATTAAAGAACTAGAAAAAGAGTTAAACCGAATTACTAGTAAAGGTAATGAGAGAGAGAGAGAGAGAGAGAGAGAGAGAGAGAGAGCATTTTGGCTTATTTCAAGCAAAACAGTATCAAATCCATTATTCTACAAGATGATAAATTACTAATTGAATATAATAACGCTCAAAAGGAAACCAAAGCCATAAATACTACTGAATTACAGCAAACCAAATCTTATTTAGAAAAAATAGGTAAAAAGGAACTTTCTTTATCTGATTTAGAGCAAAGTGGCAATAATCAGCCTACTTCTCCTGAAAAAAGTAATAAAGGTCTTTATATCGGTTTAGCCGTAGCAGGAGTATTAGTGTTAGGAGTTATTATTTACTTCTTATTTAGAAACAAAAAAGAAAGGAATAGTTAAATATTATTTTTCCTAGTAAAAGTATAAGGTTTTTGTTATTTTTCCCTCCCCTATTGTCTAATAATTAGTATTCCATTAGTGGACTATCCAAATGTGATTTTAACCAATCAATATTTTTTCTAATGGTTTTTCAATATTTATATATTACTTTTCGGCGTTCCTTGTCTTGGCTATCTCTCCAAGTCAAAAAACTTTCTAATGATTTGACTAAATAAGGCATGTTTCACTCCTCGGCTATAATTACCTCTTTCAATTTAGTTTCTACCATATTTTCTAATGGCGTGCCTACCTGACTTCTTAATAAAGTATTATCCTCACTTAATCCTTTATTTTTGCTTTGCTCCTTGGTAAGATTAGCAATGGCAGTATTTAGTCTAGTTTCTAGGTTGGAGTAATTTAATAGCCTTTTTTTATCAACATCAGAAATTCCAGTAGTCGGTTTTTTTGTTAATTTATCTTTTAAATCATCTAGCTCTTTTTTATTTTGGTCTAGTAAATTTTTTATATTTTCAGGAGTTTTATTAGTAAAAATATTTTGTCATTTATCTCTATCTGTTTTAATCGTATCATAAGTATTTAATTTGCTTTCCTCGGCGGGTGAGAGAGTTGGTGAACCTGTACCCGCTTGTTTTTTGTTTAATTCGGCTAATACTTCGGCGGGTGTTTTTCCTGGAAAAGTATTAGTCCAATTATTTCTTTCTGTTTCTAATTCCCTTATCTTTTGGTTGGCTTCAATTAGGGCTTGTTCTAATTCCTTATTTATTGCTCCTGATTTTAATTTTTTTAACTCTTCTATCTCGGCTTCTTGATTGATTATTTTAGCCGTAGCATTTTGTAAGTTAGATAAATAATTGCTAGCTGTTTGGCTTCAAAACTTTACTTCCTCTTGAAGTTTCTTAATCTCTTTATCTTTTTCCTTTATGGATATAGGGGAGGGCAAATCACTAGAATTAGAGGGATTTTTGCTTGTTTCTTTCTCTTGACCTGTAATTGGTGGAGGTGGGGGAGGAGTAGGAATAGAATTGTTATTATCACTGTCATAGCCTTCATCTTGGTTGTTCTTTTGTCTCTTTAAATCACTAGGTTTTATGCCTTCTTTTACTTTTTCTAATAGTTCTTTTTGTAAATCTTGTTTAGTCATGATTTTTTAAGTTTTATTTCTTTCCTTGTTATATTCTCCGTAGACTAGTTGATAATTGGCTTTGGCTTCTTTAAAGACTACTTGATATTCTCTAATCCCTTTCATTCTCTCTTTTCAGGCTCGTTTCTCAAAAGCATCAAAAGTTCGTCCGCTGGCTCGCACTTCGGCGACTGGTGCCCGTTCCTCTTTGTCAGCTAATACATCATGACGCACTCCTGACATCATTAACAATTTATCTCATCAAAAATTAAACTTCTTAATATACCTTTCGGCGAAATCGGTTTTTGGTTCGTATAGTTCAAATTTAACATCATGGGGATTAATACCTTGTTTACCCTCTTTGCTGGCGGTCTTACTGGGATTGCTGGACTTCTCAAAATTAGGAAAAACAAAAATTCCTTTCTGAAAGGTCTTAACCAAATAATCTATATCCTCCTCGTCAGGTTGTTCGGAGACCATAAACATTAATTTTTTTTCAGACATAAACATATCCATTTCCATTTTTCTAATGACATTAACTAACTTTTGGGCGTAATAGTCAAAATGGACTAAATATGGTGTCGCATCCTTATTATTTTTGAAAATTACAAACTTTTCTAATTTTAAATATTCTTTGCTTAATCCTGTTTCCTTGTTGGTGATTTCTTGCCACAGTTTCGGGTCAGTGCTAAATTTCACACTGCCATTATCGATTAATTGTAAAGTAGTTCGTTTTACTCCTTTTAATAAATCTCTTTCGTCGGTGATTATATCGGCTAAAAACTTTTCCCCACTCTTGCCAAATTCTAGGACGGCGACTTGTCCCCTTTTCACTAGTTCATCGTCAATATCATCTCACAAGTCAATTAAAGAACCTCCGCCCTCTAAAACTGAGATGCCCGCATAATAGTCTCATAAATAAGAACGGAGAGAATTAACAAAAAGCACATCATCTTTAACCAAACCGACCATGCTTATTACTCCGCTCGCATCGCTTTCGTTGATTGCTCCATTTCAAGAATTAGTCATAATGTTTAATTTTTCCCTATTTTCAGGAAAAGGCAAAGGTATTTTATTATCCTCCTTGGCTTGCTTGCCCGCTAATATTTCCAACTCGTAGCAAGTCAAACAACGAAAAGAAGCAGTATTGATTATGTTTTTATACTCATTTCAATAATTTATCCAACCAATCTCATTTTTACATTTGCCACATTCTAACAATACTACTCTATCTCCTGTCATATTTAATTTCGTTATCGCTCTCTAAACCAATATCATCAGTAATTTTTAAACTGTTCTTAATTTCTCACAAACCCGACCTAATTTTTAACCTGTTTTTTTCAGACAATCCACCAAGGACTTTAATTTTTTGGGAAATCAGCGGGGAAATTTCCCTTAAACTTTTATCAATATTTTTTCAACCCTCGCCCGTGAGGTCAGTTTGAGTTTCCATGTCGCGGGTTGGTTTGTTTAATAAGTCATGTAAGCCTTTTTTAGTGTCAGCAAGTTCAGCGATGACATGGTTTTTATCCAATGTCTCCTTTACTACATCTTTTTCTAAATGATTTATCCTAGTTTGAAGTGTGCGGGCTTCATCTCGTCAGTCTTTATTTGCGTTTTGTAAGATTAAAACATTATTTTTTAATCCAATATTTTCTTTTACTAAATCGGCTTTATCAATTTGGATAATATCAGCGTAAAATTGGCGTGATGTGTTGGCTTGGTTGATTAGTTTTAGTGTGCTATTAGTTCGCTCATCAGCAAGTTTTTTATTTAATACTGATATCTGATTACGGAGATTACTATTATTTTTCTCTAATTTGCCTTTTTCATCCCCCAATTGAAGTATTCGGGCTTCTAATTCGGTTATTTTATCCTCTTTTTCCTTAACAGTTGCCCCGTGTGGTGTGGCTTCTAATTCCAAAACTCGCTTAATTAATCAAGATTGTTTATTAATATCAGGAGTAGGATAAAGCGTGAAATATCTTAATAAATCCCCTTGTGGATTGACTTGTGAGGCATGATATTCTAAACTTCCAAAATAGCCAAATGTCATAATATTTAATTTTTATTGCTGGTAATGATAAGATTGATTAACGCAAGACAACTATTTATATATATCCTGTTATCCTCTATTTTGTCCCTCTGGCTGTTATTTTTTAACAAAGTTAACAGTTCCTTAATTTTTGGTGGATTTTTACGCCTTTTAAGTCCTAATGACCCCGTGAAAAAATACCAAGCCTAAAAACATGCTTCGGGTTGTTGAGTTTCCTGACTTTTTTTATAAGTGTTCTGTCCCCACTCGCCCATAGGCTAGACACTCAATAACTTCCTATGGAGTAGTTTAAAAGATTATTTGGGTGGAATTTGAATTTGGGCTTGGGTTATTTCTAATTTTTGTTGTTCTAATTCACATAAAGCATTATATCTAGAAAAACAAGCCTTACAAGCATCTATTTCACTTAATATTTTTTTGCCAAATAAAATCTCTCTGTATGAATAATGTTCGTGAACTCCTCGCTTAATTGTCTCCTCATTACAAAAATAACACTTTCCATAAAAACAATTGGCGATTTCTTGCGTTTGCTCCTTGTCGGCTTCCTTATTTTTTTTAAGTTCCTCAACAACTTCATATTTTCTCGAACAAAACTCGCAAAGTGATAAGACTGTTTTGCTTTCGTTTTCTTGGAAACCTTTACCCTCAATCATTACCTCACAAAATAAGCACTTACGATGAAAAACTTTTTTGAATAGTTCTAGTCGTTTTTCGAACTCTTTTTTAGGCATAATAACTTTTTTTATATCTTAATTATTCTTTTAATTTAGCGAATAATCCCACATAATTTAAACATGTCGCAAGTCCAACATACACCCGCGACTTATGAAAAAATCAATTGGCTCCGTTTTCAGGCTCGTATTTATATTCTAGTCCTTGTTTTGGTTCTCGAATTTTCAATACTGGCACTCGCACATCACCCATCCACAGCAACAATTTAACATCCTCATTATTATCAGTTATTTTGCCTCCTGTGGTTTTCTTGCTGATTTTAAAATTAGTTTCTTTTACTCAGGCAAATCGCTCTTTTAGGTCAACATATTTCAGATTGTAAGCAGTAGCATATTTTTCAGTTGACAATTTATTAACAATTCGACTATCAAGAACAATACCAATTCTTTTTAAAGATGGAGTGTTAGTTTCAATTTGTTCCCAGTTGGCATCATCATTTTTATCTTTTTCATAGTCCCAAAAATAACCCTTTTGAAATACTGCGTTTCGGCTTCTCATTCGTGAGGAAATATTAAAGACAAAGTCGAGAACAGTTCCCATATCCTCGGCGGCGGTTTTTGTCAAGACAAACATATTGCCCGTTGGTTCCTCCTGTCCTAATACTATTTCTTTAACTTTCTCGCTATTAGTTCCTTTTCTGTAATTTTTTAACAGCGTAAACGAATGCTCGACTTCAATATTAATATCCTCGGTCATTTCAGTCGCAATATTTTCTTTTAATTGCGTTCCAATCTCGGACACCTTGGCAGGATTACCAATGGCATCAATAAATCGGCTTTCTTGAACCATATCATAATAAACTTTGTCAATGCGACAAGGGATATCCACATAAGCAATATCAAGCGTCCTTTTAAAGGTGTCGCTGTCGTCCGTGCCCTTGTGAACGGATAAATCGGGCTTATGATTTAACCCTTTTTTCGGTTTGGTGAATAAGAGGCGGGCACCTCATCCCTCCACTTCCTCGATTTTGTGATTAGTGAATAAGTCAATATATTCATTATCAGCACCCACCAATTTATAAATATCGTGAATGTGGATAATGTTTTGTAGATGCTCGATGTATTTTTGTTTGGCATTTAGTCCAAAAGGTTTTGCGTTTAAATTTACCATATCTTAATTATTTTTGTTGTTGTTTAAATGCTTTCTTGCTTTCTAGCAAGGTGTCAAAATCACTTCTAAAAAGTTTTTCCAGTTGCTCGTCCTCTTGGGATTGGGTAAATTCGGCGTCTCGTTGTTGGCGGTTATACTCAATTGCCCTTACTTTATCAATGTCGGCTTCCTTAACCTGTTGCCTCAATATTCTATTTTCACTTTCGGCTCGCAATCGCTTTTCCCTTTCCTCTAAATAAGCCATTAAATTATCATCCCTCTCTTTTTCGACTTGTTTTTTATCGGCTTCCTCCTCCGCAAAGGCTCGTTTAATACTTTGGATTTTTGCCCCTTCGTCTAATGCCTGATTTAATCGGCGTCGGGTTGGGTTATCATCAACAATATATTTTTTATCCTGCTCCAATTCGGTTTTTTCTTTTAAGTTGTCGTTCATAGTAAATTATTAATTTTTATTTTTTATGTATGTGTTGTAAACATCTTTTCAGTTGGGATTTTTACCATTGCTGGATTTTTCTATTTTCTCCCCATACTTCAAAACCTCCTCCAATATTTCTTTTTCTTGGATTATTTTTGTTTTGTAGTTATTCATGATAAAGTTTTTAATTTAATTTTTCTACTAACTGCCCAAATTGCGGATATTGGTTTAATTCATTCTTGATAATTCCTTTGGTTTCCTCATCTGGAATATTTTTCCATTGGTTAATAATAACACTCTCTAATTGTTCGCTTAATCAGTCCGCAAGTTTTATCATGTTAGGTATTTGGTCTTTTACCAATCCCCGTAAGGCTCCAATAATAAATGCTAAGGCTTTTTCTTTTAAGAAGTTCAAAGCCATATCCCATCAAATACTTTTCACTTGAAATTCTCCTTGGGTTTCGTCTTGGTGGAGTTCGACAATACTTTTTAAAGCATATTGTTCGCCCTCCTCGGCTAATCTGACTAAACTGGGCTGATTTTCTCTTTCTAAATCCTCGCGGTGTAGTCTATTTAACCTTTCTCATTCTTTTATATCCTTTTGTCCGTGAATTTCGCCAATTAATTCAGAAGTGGTATTAACTATACTTTGTCGGTCAATGATAAAGGTATTTCCTCCGTCATCTACTATCATTTCTGTTTTTGTCGTTGAATGCCTTATAATTCTCTTACTCATAACCTTATATATTATTATTTTGGTAGTGAGAATAAAGCGTGTTATTTTACAATTTATTAAGTAAGAAAATTAAGTGAATTATATTATTTTTCTAGTGCTGATAAAAAGGTTTGTAATGCTTGGCTTGCTTGGTCTAATACTAAAAAATCTAATTCGGATAATTTCTGTTCTCTGTAATTGTTCCAACCATTATCCCCTAATTTCTTATAAACAAGAGCATCCAAGACATTATTTTTTCACAGTCTATATTCTAATTCTTTTTTATCTAACTCGGATAAGTCTTTTTTGCGATTAGGCATATTCCACCAAACCAAATCATTACTGACCTTTTTGGCTTGGTTGAATATTCGGCGTTTTTCCTTGCTATCCATATTAATTATTTAGTTGGGCAGGTTTATCTCTCACAACCCATCAATAAACTAAACAGAGTAATCAAATATAGAGGTTTTACCCGCTCTATATCCTATTTTTTTGCTAATCTCTCCATATCCTCCGTAGTTGCTACGCGAATATAACCCACTTTTTCACCCGTTATTTTATCCCTATCGACTTGTGGCAGTGGTATTTTATGGCAAGTATTCAGTATAAATTCTTTACAACCATTCTCAAATCGTAAATATCGAACACCCCCACTTTTTATAAGTTCTAACACTCTTTTATTTGTGTCCTCGTTTTTCGATAAGCAAAAATGTTGAATGTAAAAATAACTCTCTTGTTTTCTTTGAATTTTTCTTAAAATGCTTGACATAATGATAAATAAAAAGGGTGTTGGTTAGTTGCTTTTAAAGTTAATTGGTAAGATTTCCCTAGTTCGAAAGGTGGCGAGTTGCTGCCATTATGAGTATTGAATAAAAAATATTTCGGTGATTGGTTTATATTGTATCTAATGTAATTATTGCCATTTATTAACAATTCAAAACTTCGCAATATCTTACATTTAATAATTAGTATTTCGTCATTGACTAATTGCTTAATAATTTGCGGTGATTTTACTGTTTTATTAGGTTTTTTATTGCTTATTTGCGGGCGTTTTTCCTTTCTATCACCCGACAGCTGAAAAAAAACAGTATTTAACTCGCTTTTTAATTCCTCGCGGTTGTTTTTTAATATCTTATATCACTTGCCATTTTTTATAGGCTTTTTATCTTTGTCCCTATCAACCACATAATCTCCTTGACCCTGAATGCTCCCTATATTTCAAATTTTCCCACATCATTTATATTCTATTGCCTCTTTTTTTAAAGGTTCAGAAGTTATTATGTCAATATGACCGCCTTTTTTAGTTTTGTCCCAGCAGACCCGTCAGCGTTTTCATAAGTTATTGAATTCTTTGTGAAGTTTCTTTTTTAACTCATCAGGAAAATCGGGCTTGTCTAAATCAAAATCTAAACTGCTCTGATAATATTGCCCCAAATGTTTACCTGTCAGCGTGGCAATTTCTCCGTAAGTTTTTAATAATTGTTCTTGGGTTCTTGGTTCTCTCCAAGTAGATAATTTATAACCAATCGAACCTTTAATTGGTCTTTTTCTAATAGTTGGTATTCTCCGTCATGCTTGGTCTTTTCTTTTTTGTCTTTCTAATAAGTTATTAAATATTCGGTCTTGTTCTTTTTGGCTGGGGGGAGAAGGGAGAGCATTTTTATAAGTAAAGATATGAGGGATTAGTTCCTGCGTGTGTGAGTGAACAAATTTATTAAGACGGGTAGACAACAATTTTTTTTCAGCAAGTTTTTTCTCATGTTGATAGCGACTAGTTGCTTTATATTTCTCGGCGTGGTCTCCTCTTAAATAATAGTCGTGGTTTATCTCCTTTTTGCTTTTCTTGGGTTTTTCTATCTCTACGCCAAATACTCCGTTATAACTTTTAAAATCAAGACCAAGCTTTTTACTTTTATATCTTATCCGTCTTGCTAATTTCTCCCTTTCTTTATTTTCTTGGTAATACTCCTTTTTGTGATTTGGGTTTAAATATTGTCCGCGTTTTCCCCTCGTGGGTTTAAATTCCTCTTGTAGAGGAAAAATATTATAAAGCGTCTTTTGCTCGTGAGATTTGGTAATTTCCATAGTTTAAGTTATTATTCGTCTGCCAGCCAGTAGCAGTTAACGCTTAACATTTTCGGATTTTGGAAATTACCACAAATCTTATATCCTAATTATTAGTGCTAACGACTGACTGACATGCGGATAACAATTAAATTACTTCAATTTTTAATCCCAACTGGTTCAAGGTCAATTCTGTTTTTTAACCATAACCCAGTAAATATAAAAAATTAACACCGCATCTTTTTCGTGTTCGTTGATATATTTATTTTTAAAGGTTCATTGTAGTTTTGGTCGACCCTGTTTATTATTATTTATTTTAATTCTTTTTAGTCCAATGATTTTATCTTGCTTGGCAAATTCCTCGTATTTATCAACAGTAGCATTTAATATCTCTTTTATAATACAATCAGCATCCGCCCCAATAAATAAGAGTGCTCCGCAGACCCTTAATAAATCATGATAATCAGTACCTACATATTGCCCTTTAAGTCAATTGCCCCCTGTCTCTATTGCTAATTCTTTCACTTTATCATTTTTGACCTTATTTTGAAAGAATTTAGCCTGATTTAGTCAATTTTCGTCCTCATAATTGCCTATTTCTCAA